TGCTTTTACTTAACAGTCAGTAGCTAATTTTTAAGGGAAAAACTTAGGCTCTATCTAAGATTTTAGAGAGCTATGTAAGTATGTAGTAATAAGGGTTGATAACTTCAAAAGTAATGGAAATAATCATTTATCATTATCGCTAAAAATCTTCATTACAATAAGAACACAAAATATCGAGAAGAATGGTTTTGATTCACACAACCAAACTTCTAATATTCATTTTAAGATTTCATTAGAAATATCTTTTGTTTATCCTGATTATTTTGAAAAGACAGAAGCATAATATTTAATTTATTATTGAGTAATTCAAGTTTTAATATCCATCCAGTTTGCACTTATAAATTAATGGTAGCCTATTGCTTTTTTTCAAACTTTTGAAGTATATTGTAAGAATGATACAAATGAAAACAAGCTAAATTTGGAATGTTATCTTTGTGCTTCATAATGCTGCTTTTTAAAGTTTATTGATCCTTTTGAAATGTATTATCTTTCACTAGTTGGTCTCTGGAAATTCTTGCTGGTGAGTGTAGTATGTTACCAATTGTGCATTTTAAACATGTTCAGTATAGCTGCTTCTGTACATATTTTCAGTATGGGGATAATCTAATATTACTGATACATTGCTTGACATACCCATAATATCCACTTGTTAAGGAAAATTCTTACAGAAGATTTTTGAAAAACAAAATAATTTTAAGGGGATTATCCCTGATTGCTTACATTATATATTAGTTTATCCCCTTCTTTTTTATTTGAATGCTATTTTAATATAGATCCTCTGCCTGATCCAAAAACCTATCAAGAATAGCTGTCTCCATTCATGGCAGTGTCAACAATGGAGCTATTAACAAATTAGTAGAAGCTTTTGAGTGGAAATTTGTAACTTTTGCAAGTTAATGTAGGAGTTATCTTGAGTCACCTGTTAGGTGGTTCTGATGTTCAAAGATACACTAAAAGCAATCCACAACTTAATTGCATATTTTCTTTAGCAAAAAGAAATTCAAGTGAGACACTTGAATTTTGAGACCATAATATTTACCAATTGGTTCTTAAGCATTCAGTACAGATTAATTTGAGAAAACTTATGTCCTTCATACAGCTGGCCTCTTAAGATGCTCTTTTTCATCTCTGCTTCTTTTATTTTGTAAAGGGGGCTTCCCAAAAATAAGAGGGTACAACTCTCCATTATTTTTATTTTCCAAGAATGCCTCTGGGATATATGTGGGGTTCATTATGGGAATTACACATAATGCTTGAGCTGGCTCTTGCTTTACAGCATGCTAGGTTTTTGATGATCTTCACCTAATAAACTGCCTATTTATTACAGCTGTATCTGGAGCAGCCTAAACAATCAGGTCATTTTAATCAATGTAGTAGTATGCTTTCTTAAATGAGATTTTTTTAAAGTAATATGAAATACAAATAATTAAAATACAAAATATGAATAGAAATGTCCAAATTAAGTCTTACACTAATAGAATAACAGAGTTGGAAGGGACCTTGGAGATCCTCTAGCCCTTCTCAAGCAGAATACCTATACCATTTCAAACAAATGATTATCCAATCTCTTCTTCGAAACCTACAGTGTTGGAACATAGTTTTGTATGATCTCTTTGAATATCAGAGTAGAGCTATCATGTAGTACAGAAATCTCTTTCCCATTAAATTTATCTTTAATTCCATTGAATTACACACTTAAAGGAACATTTTCAAACTTTTCTGAAAACCACAATAGAACTCCTTATGGAATGTGGGAAAGAATATTGAGTAGCAGGAGTTAATACAAAGGAAAGACTGCAATTCCTGGTGTAACAAATCTGTTTACTATAAATACAAAAAGACAGGACACTTCCCCAAAGGCTACATAGCAAGAACAAATTCATCCTATCAAATGATATGTGTCCATCCCTCAATTAATTTGCATGTGGCTAAAGTTCTATAGCTGTTATGTTTTGAAAGTGAGTGTGCTTGCTTTATAAATAACATTTCCAATCAAAATTATAGTTATGGTAGAGTATTCTTTGAACTTGACAAAACTATTTCTAATATAGTTAAAATGTTTGTGTCCTGCATTAAAGTCTTATCAAGGACAAGTCTGATTTCTGACTGATTGAAATATCACAGTCAGTGTACTATACAACTTTTCATCAAGTGTTGGATATATTCGCTGCCTTGAGTTATTTCTAAAAATAATAATCAATAAATAAAATATTCTTAAAGTGTCAAGAATCCTGAGAAAAAGTTTCTGATTCAAATTAATATTTCTCATAATGAGTGCAAGGGGACACTTGTTGCAAAAAAATTATAGGCAATAACTAACCTTCTGGCACAATATATCTCTTTATGTGCCAAAAGAAATGGAAAGAGTCATCAGAACTAAACGTTGCAGTACAAGTAAAAGGTCATATTTCAGTGGAGAACTCAGGATAGTATCATGTTGTCTGCTTCTTATCAAATCAAGATTGCTGTTTGGTAAAGTTTTTTTACCCAATAATGTAGGGTTTTTTTTTAAAAAAAAAAAATCCCAAGATACTAAAAGCTAGATGATGTACAGTTCATGGAATAAGAAGATTCAGATAACAGGTTTAGCATTAATGTTTAAACATGCCAGTTCACAAATGTTGATTCATCCCTTCTAATACATGTTGATAATAAAGTGCCATCATTGAGTTGCTTAATGTTGATCATTTCTTTAATCTGAGGCTTCTGTCAATCCTAATCAGAAAAAAATAAGTATTTAAATTCCTGTCATATTTTAGGTTTGCTTTTATAGCTAAAAAAAAGCAGAAATGGCAGACTATAGGTTAAAACATTTAGCTCAGATTACTTACAAGGGGTCATATTCTGATTTAATGGGGGGTAGGGACTGATAATATGTGTGTTATAATATACTCTTTGTATATTTGAGTGTGATGTCTTGGCACAAATACAGCTTGCATCATGCCATCATAATCTTTATTCATCATTTTGCTACCATGATGGATAGGACCAGACACCGTTGCTAAGAATCACTGAGAAGGGAAGAACCAATAATTAAACTATGTTCGCACATACAAGTATGAGTTCACATTTAACATTCAGTCTTGCTGTTTGTCTCATCCAAACAGCTCCACTATTTGAATATTTTGTCTATCAGATATAACTATTAATAGTCTCTATACATACAGTACTATTTGACAGAAGCAAAAAGATTTTCGAAAACAAAATGTTGCATATACTATTTGAACTCTTTATCCAGTGTAGAGTTCATCATCTTAATGTAAACAAATAAGTGACTGTTGAAGTGTTTTCCTTTATTCGACTAGCTGTCATTTTCCCTCATTGACAAATTTTTAGAAAATGTTCATAATCTGTTATTGCATAATCATTTACACAAAATTAGTGATTTCTTGTCATTTCCAGTCAAAATTGTACAAAATTTTACTTTTTGTAGAATATTTCTCAGTCTTTGGATATTTGACAAGCTTTTTATAATGTTTTTTATAAGATTCCATCCCTTGCAGCAAAGTCACATCATTCATTACAAATATGAATTCCATTAATTGCCTGTGGCTTTTCACTTAATATGAAAAGTTAGATTTGTAAATGAGTATCCTTTATTACCGTGTTTATGAATTTCTGGCTTTGCCCACACATCTTATCCTATTAAAAATACTTCATCTTATTCTGTGGGTGATTGGACCAGGCAAATTTTCTATACTATTTCTAACCTTGAGCATGTTTTCATCCCTGTCTTTTTTTCTATTACTATTTCTTTTCTCAAGTTGTAATATGAGGGCTTGCTGAGGTTTATAATGATCTAGTTGAGAACTTTATTACATGTGCACGACAGAAGACAGTATAGCATCATCCTTGGTGAAATTCTCTGGCTTGGCTCTGATGCTAGAGATAGCCTTGCTTTCTATTAGGCTGATTGGATTTCTTTGTTTACCCAATGCTGTTACTTATTTTACAATAAAAGTTGAAAATAGCATGCAAAAGTTTCCTGTTTGACATTTGCAGTCAGATACTTTCAGGCAAGCAACATCATTGTAAATATGTAAATAATGAAGTAGCTTCTGATCATCTCTGTTGATGCCTGGGATTTTCTTGTCATTAGATCATTTGGATCATTCTTACAAAAGAGCCAGTACTCTAACTTGTGCTTCGTTGAGAAGTTCAGCTTTGTTGAGACCTTCAGCAATTAAGATGACTCCTAGATTTATGTATGAGAAATCCAGCTTATATGTCATAAAATCTGTTGTTTCCAAAGGAACAGTTAGAAATTTCCTCATTTCTCTTTAAAATGTCATAGACCTATAACTTCAGGATGGACAGTGTTATTTTTAAGTTATAAGAAATTGAAATGTGTGTTTAAGGATCCTGCTCAGCAATATGAAAGCATTATTTATGTGCTTATGTTTTCAAAACATAATGAGCTTTCAGTATGATAGATCTGTGTTTTATATGTAAGCAGTGAGGGTAATGTGTTGTGTATATTTTCCCAGTGCACCTTATAGCATTTTAGGACAGGAAGGGGAGAGTGGGTATTCAGAAATAGTATGGGTAGGGCAGCAAAAGCTAACCCCCTCCTTCCCCAGACTTACTCCACTTTAGAATGCCAAATAGCAGTCTATTGCCATGATCTCTGAACGTCCAACTTCTTCAAAAGTAGCATTATTCTCCTGCTGGCAGGAGACTGGTTGATTGGTCCAACGATTCTTAGTTTATTGGAAGTCTAGTTGTTATTACAGAGAAAGCTGCAGTAGGTTTGCCCACTTCAGATTTGGAGCTGGACCAGGACAACTACTTGATCTTGACTGTGTGCTACTGTTATTACCTATCAGAGTGACTATAATAATAGCCTTTTTGAAGGCACTTGAAATATTCATCTTTAGCTATTGCAAGTAGTATACACTGGGCTTTACTAAGTCTCATTCTAGAATTTGCACTGTTTCTAGATGAAGTGCATTCTGTTCCTAATTCTTTCTGGCTTTTTTTGTGTATTCATTTCTTTTTAGAGTGTGCGTGACTGTCCCTTCAAAGAGGATGCAGATGATGTGACAGAGGGGAAAAATATTACCTCTCACTTTGAATGGGAGGTCTCAAAGCATTCAGTAGGCTTTAGTGAGAGCCAGATGTCAGCCACACTGGAGTCTACACAAATTCATGAATCAGACTCCTTTTCAATAAGCAGCAAGGAGCAGAAAGAGGAGGGTGCCACTGCTCTTCTTGAGAGCAAGGAAGATCTAAAGTGTGAAAAGGGATTTTACTCAAATATGGAAAAGGAAGCTGAGGATTCTAAACAGGCTGAGGTGGAAATATCTGTAATCCCTGTTTCACCTCCATTGTACCTCCATGAGCAAGAGGAGGAAGCTTGTGGTGTTGAAGAAACAAAATTAATCTGCGAGCCACTTAGAAAGCTAAATGGAGAATATTACAATCCAAATGTTGATCATGAATTTCCTGCTCTCATTCGCTGTTTCCAGGTAGTAAATGTGAACACAGAATATCTTTTGCAAACGCCTGTGCTACATTTTCTGAGTCACTTTGCAAACACTGGAGCAAGCATAGCTTTACATATCCATGAAGAAGGATTAAGTTTTGATGTAATTTCCCAATTATTTAATTTCATACTGTCTATATAAATTATTACTCCCTTCTTCATCCTTATCTGAAATAGACATGTCTTAATTAAACAATTTTTTCTTGATTTGTCAAAGAAAGGAAAATACAAAAAGCAAAAGATGTTTAATATATCAGAACAATTAAGTACTAATTATTAATACTAATGGTTTATTCATTATGACAATAACAAAACAATTCATAAGGTCTGGAATCAACAGATTTGGAAATACCACTTTCCTCCAGCTTATAATTTTTTTTGCTTGCCTGCTTCAGTGTTCCTTATTAATAGCATCTGCTAAAATACCTAAATATATAATCTGATAATAAGGTGATACTTTGGGTATGCAAAGGGATATGATGGGCATATGGTCCTTTTACTAACATTATGTTCTCTTTGAGTTAATTATCAGGTGGTGGCTGGTTTTTCTTTTGCTACTACTCTTAATACTTGAATATCCATAAATGTTGATTTGGCAGTGATTTGATACAAACTGGTGGACGTCACATTTCAAACTGCAGGTGTTGCCTATGCACTCTCTGTAGGTTTCCTACATTCAATTTAAATTCAACTAGTTTCTGAATAAATATTGCGGCATATAAAAAATCCTGATATTCTTCCTACATGGTACAGCACATATATGATAGTACATATGTAGATTTCTGTCATTAAATATTAATATGAATAATGAAGTGAATCCATTTCCATTATTTGGCAATCAGATTTTTAAAAATCATGTGGAATCATTGCATTTCATCATAATTTTCACAATTCTGCAAATGAGTGCAAACAACATAACAGTTGTAATGTATAGTTGAGTTCATGATGCATCTATAAATTGCACGTTGGAATTCTATTAATAATCCTGATATAAGGTGACTAAATGTACTTTACTTTGAAACTATTTTGTAGCCCCCCCTTGTGAAAACTCAGACCGTTACCATCTCTGATGTGTCTAATACTGTGAAAAGTGAAATTCCAACTAAAGACGTTCCAATTGTTCATACAGAGACCAAGACTATAACTTACGAAGCTGCACAGGTAGGCTGTTTCACATGATGTTATTGTAATATTTCGTACGATTGTTAGAAAATCCAAGACGTTTTATTCATAGTGCTTATCTAAAAGACTTTAAACATTTTATTTCAGTGGGACGGTATGTTTCCTGCAGGGAATTCCACTTGTGACAATTGCTGTGAGAAATACCATTATTCTTATCAGAGAAAGTCCTGTTTCTCTGAAACAGAATTACATGAGCTCCCCCGCTGTGGTCCATAGAGCTCATTCTGGCCATGATTGCTGAAAAACCGAGAATACGGTCTTCCAACCTTTTGAAGTGGGAAACAGATGAAAATGATAATATAAGATCTAAAAGGGTGTACCACATTTACAAATGTGGCCTTCTCCAGAATCCTAAAACAGCCCTGCTCCCATGCCTGATGAGGCCACTTTGTGGCTATAAGTTTCCTGAAAAAAGTTTTTGAGCGAGGTGCTTAGTAGCCAAATGATATCCAACCTTAAACTAGGAGAATTAGGCAAGCCTCTGCTGAGAGCTGAGCTGGCTTACACTGTGATGAAGGAGATTTATGAATATATTGCTCTCCAGAATCATTTGTGGACAACTGCTGTGGATCCTGAAAACATAAGTAATGGCCCCTGACTAAGAAAAAAATATCTGTCATCTTGGGTAGTTTGTACTCTTGAGTAGAAATTTCCCAGTGTATATTCTCACTAAAGTAGCTTGCATGTTGTTGAATGGTACCAGAAGGATGTGTGGGAAGCTTTTTTCAAAAATCTACACAAAGATAGACTTAAGGGGAAACTATTTTCTTATTATTTTTGTGGCTGCAAAGTGCTTTCCGTTTTTTCCCCCCCTGAGGCAAATACGCTTGGTAAATCCGTGCTCTCAACCTAAATATGTAAAGTGGATGATTTGGCAAACCGTTCTCCTTTAGACAGAAAACTATGCATACATTCAACAAAAGGAAATTTGTTACTGCTTTGAAAAAAAACAGTACATTGTTTTCATTGTATAGCCAGGAATGGAACCAAATAATTGCTACATTTATTACCACAGGGAGCTGAGCAGCTTTTAATAACATATCCTTGAGAAGATGCCATTGCACAAAGTTCCTGTTTGTAAACTTCCTATTGGCATCTAATTGTGTACTGGGAGGGTTGGATTAAATTAATATGGGCCTTGACTGATCCAGAATTTTGTTGTTAGTGTCCTACTGTATACAGTAGTTGATTAATAATGTTATCTCTTTTCATTTAGAAGCAGTTTTTCAATTTGCTACTTTTATGTGAATATCTTGTTTCCTGCCAAATGAGTTATTCATTGTAGGTGGGCAAGGAAGTCATTTATACTTTGATATATTTCTGCCTTAGATTGATGATAGCAGTGGGGATTTAGATCCTGGAGTTCTCCTTACTGCTCAGACTATCACTTCAGAGACTACCAGCAGCACTACAACCACACAGATAACGAAGGTAAAACCAGCACTAAACAAATATTAAGTCTCATTGATAAGCTGCAATCATGTCAAAAAATTAGATACATAAATTTCATTTTCTGTGTGTCTTTGTAATCCTCAAAGGATTGAGCAGTAGAATGAACAGAACACAGAAGCACCATTTTGTTATAAGACAGTGTTGTTGCAGATTGGAAAAAGATGTCTTTTGATGAAAATTGTGGTTGTTCGAAATCATGTGTAGAGAAAGGAAATAAAATAATATTGTTTTCAAGAGAAGGCTACATAAAGTCTCTTCCCTGGCTACATTAGTACTTAGAAAATTGCAGTGGGCTCAAGTGATCCTTTAGCTTTACAGCTTTTGATTACAATTAATGAATAATAAAGTGAGAAAAAAACAATACACTAAAAGCCAAAACGTATGACTTACTCTGAGTTACAAATGCTCTCTTGTTGATACTTGAAATTCTGGTATTTATGGTGAAGTTGGGAAAACCTGCTTAGCCAGTGTTAGTAACCACAGAGAGAAAAAAAGTTAAATGTATCTTGTGATATGGAGTCTTAAAGCATGGCTTTGCCTCAAAATATGTCTCCCATTAAAACTGAGAATCAAGGAAACTTCAGAGAAATTGATAAATTTGAAGGTTATTGCAATTTTTCTTAGAAACATTTTTTTAGTTTAGTTTGAACTTAGTTGAGTTCTGACTAAATATTTTCTATTTCCAGACATATTAAAAAGAATGTTATAGTTGTTGTTGTTGTTAATTGCGAAGTCGTGTCCGACCCATCGCGACCCCATGGACAACGTTCCTCCAGGTCTTCCTATCCTCCACCATCTTCTGGAGTCCATTTAAGTTCACACCTACTGCTTCAGTGACTCCATAACTTTACTTTAAAAATCATTTTTATACTCGTTATAATCTAATGTTACATTCTGTAAAGCAACTTTCCTGTGATTTGCAAGAATGAGACATTTGGTTTACCATTATAAATTTTGGGAAAAAAATGAAAATGATGAAATAATTATGAGAAGGAAAATTCAAAAGATGATACAAGTAGTGCTACCTATGAACTAGATTTTTATTTACATTCCTATTTAATAAACTGATTACATTTCTCTTTTAACAAATAGTTAAAATTTCTGTAGGTTTTATCATTTTTAATTATAAAAAAATGTTAATATTTTTCTTCTCATGACAGACTGTAAAAGGTGGAATTTCAGAAACACGAATTGAAAAACGAATTGTCATCACAGGAGATACAGACATTGATCATGATCAAGTAAGAGACTGTAGTCTAGACTGCTGTGATTATTGATAATGGAACAAAATTTTTTTAACAAAAGGAGAGTAACTTTAAATTCAGATTCTGAAGTTGTTTTTGAAGTAATGAAAGTCTTTTAAACTCAGTCCAAATGTTTTTCTAGGTGAGAACAGATAACAAGATACCATTCACAAACACTTAAAGCTGTTTTGTTAAATACAATTAAAATGAAATATAAAAACATGTTGATAAAATATTGCTTTGATAACACTAACATAGTTTGCTGTCAGAATCCAATTATATTTCATCTTTAATTATCAAATATAGAAACTCCCAATTCTGCCTTCTCTGGATTCTGCCATAAGAGGGAGAGAAGGGGGAGAACAAAGGGGCTTTATGGCCCTCACTTCCTTCAGTATACTTCAAGGAGCTGAATGCTGAATGTGTGTTTATTGTAACCTCAAAGCGTTAGCACCAAAGAACCTTACCATAACAAAGAAGGGTATTTGCCTTTCATGTAGTTATCTGAAGTCTCCATCCAGACGGAAGAAAGAAAAAAGGGGGTGGAATTGTGATACTTGAAACTATCACTGAAAGGGGGGTTGATTGGGTGGGACTACTGGGGGACCCCTTAAAACCTTGAATGGGAGGGCTTGGACCCCAAGTCCTGTCTAGCACGCCTGCAACCACTTCTTCTTAATAAAGGATTCCTGTTGGAAGAATTATTCCAAGAGTTCTGTCTTCTTAAGATGCAAAGTGGGGTGGGTCCTTACATTAGACAGGACTTGCAAAATTAATCCACCTGGAAGGGAGACCCTTGCCGGGGGATTTTGCAAAAATTTACCATGTCAGACAATGGAGCAAGAGAGGGGGAAAACTCCCTGGAAAGAGAGCCGCTGACCCAGTTGGAACCTTGCCAGATGTTGGGATCCGAGAGGTCAGATTTCTCAGGAGAAGAAGTGGTGGAGACACGGGACCACAAGCCTCGCTGGTCAATGGGCGTTGGAAAGAAAAGTGAGTGGGGAAAGGAATCAAGAAAGGTGACCCTGAGACGGGGGACAAAGCAACCAGAATGGAAGCAGGAGATGGAGAAATCCCTGCACGCAAGTGAAGAGGGAGGAAGCTGGGCACCGTACTCAGACTGGATCCTAGAGAAAGCTATTGACCTGATGAAGAGAACTCTCAGATCCCTAGAAGAGGAGAATCCTGAGCCCTACGGCCGCCCCAGCTCCTGGAGCCGCAAAGGGAGAAACACCGAGGGGGACGTGGAACCTGCAACCCCGGGGACAGCTACTGATGCAGTAGCCCCCACCCCCTACCGGACCACAGATGGCAACCTGGACGGAAGACATTACCACCAACAGCGGAGGCACTGATCCATTCCAAGATGTCCACCGTTGGAGGTGAAATTCAAAGGGGAGCCAACACGCTTGGGGTTTTTCCTAACCCAAGTCCTCAGCTACATGGAGGAATACGGGCAGGACATTCCCAGCGACAAAGCCCGCATCCGGATCGTGCAATCTGCCCTGGATGGACCGGCTGCAGATTGGGTGGTGAACTTGCATGACTCCAATGCTCCAGAACTCAGTAACTTCAACCGTTTCATGTCCTCTTTGAGAAGACGATTTGAAGACCCCCCTGGCTGATCGCAAAGCCCATGAAAGGATAAAAACGATGAGGCAAGGCAAACGCCCGATGGCTGAATATACACAAGAATTCCGGGCCATTGCCAGCAAACTGAATTGGCCAGAAGACATCCTCCTTGGCCATTTCAAAGATGGACTAAACTATGATCTATATGATGCTTGCCTGCCCCGAGGGGACCCACATCGACTTGAGGAATGGTACGTCTTGGCAGAGGAAGCAGAGATCGACATATTGAAGAGGCACCGCCGAGGAAAACAATGGAGCCGCCCCCCGCCTGAGCTGACACACCAACCGGTGAAATCATCGGATACAGCCAAGAAGCAAATGGGGTGTTTCAAGTGCGGAAGAGAAGGGCATCGAGCTGTAGAATGCCGCTCAAAGGCCCCCCAGCACAACCCAGACAGATCCCCAATCAACAAACCTGGAAAGTTTTCAGCTAAGCCAAAAGAAACGGCCATGAGAATGATGGAAATTGCAGAAACCCCCACCTCTGCTCACCAAGGGGAAAGAACTCCAGCCTACACCACAGGGCCGGTGGATGCCTCAGATGACAGCTCGGAGGGCGAACCCCTGGTAAGTGGATGCATCACACCCATCTTCAAAACAGTGACTATATTAATCCCCCCCATGCCCGAAGCTGTGAAGGTGAAAGCCTTAATAGACTCTGGCTGCACCCGCTGCCTCATTAGCCCAACACTAGTGGGGAATCTGGGCATCCCATCCAGGAGACTGGAACAACCAATCTCATTTGGCTAGCTAGATGGATCCATAGCAGGGGGGGTGCCAGCTACCCTAGCCACTCTACCAATACACCTCTCCCTGGGCAAACATGGACATAACGTTTGTAGTGACCCCAGGTATGGAATGCCCAATGATTCTAGGGATGGAATGGTTGAAAAAATGGAACCCCTGGGTAAATTGGAGGACGACAGAAATCAAATTCCCGAAGGGGGACCCTATGGACTTAAAACCCCAAGGGAGGCTACCAGAATCAAGAATAGAAAAAGCATCCATAGGAGAGGAAAAAAGATTAACAGAAATACCAGAGGAATATAGAGACCTTGCTGAAGTCTTCAGTGAGGAGAGGGCGAATGAGCTCCCCCCCCCCACCGACCCACAGACTGTACCATTGAATTCAAGCCTGGGGCAAAACTCCCGAAGCCCAGATTATACTCCATGAGCCCAAAGGAGAAGGAGGAAATGGAAAGATTTATAAAAAAAAACCTAGAGAGAGGTTTCATTGAGCCAGCCAAGCCTAAAGTGGCTGCCCCGGTCCTTTTTAGAGAGAAGAAGGATGGCTCCTTACGTTTATGCGTGGATTATAGGGCCCTGAATACAATCAGTGAAAGCAACCTGTACCCTCTGCCCCTCATGAAAAACATGCTGTCACACCTATCGAAAGGGAAAATTTTTTCTAAACTAGACCTAAGGGAAGCTTTCTATCGCGTGAGAATTAAGGAAGGGGACGAATGGAAGACTGCATTTAACTGCCCCATGGGGTGCTATCAATTCAAAGTCTTGCCATTTGGATTACATGGGGGTCCTGCAGTCTTTATGCAATTAATCAATGACGTTCTAAGGGAGCACCTGTTTAAGGGGGTCCTTGTTTACTTGGACGACATTCTTATCTTTACTGAAACAAAAGAGGAACACGTTAACCTTGTCAGAGCGGTTTTAAAGAAGCTGCGAGCCTCTCAAAATGCGAATTCCACCAGGAAAGGATAGACTACCTAGGCTATCGCATATCCCCACAGGGCATTGAAATGGACCCAGAGAAGGTCAAAGCAGTATTAGATTGGGCGCCACCCGCACAAGAAAGCAACTACAAAGTTTCCTGGGCTTTGCAAACTTTTACCGCCAATTCATCCCCTCATTTGCCCAGATAGCCTTGCCCCTCACTAACTTACTAAAAACGAAGGGAGCATCCTCAGTAAAACCTAGCCAGCCACTAACATGGACAATGGAGTGCCAAGCAGCGTTTGAGAGACTAAAGAGACTTTTTTCTGCCGAACCAATACTAAGGCACCCAGACATGGACAAGCCCTTCGTAATACAGGCAGATGCAAGTGATGTGGCAGTGGGGGCTGTGCTATTACAAGAAAATGATGATGCAGTATTGCAACCCTGTGCATATACATCCAAGAAACTCACGGAAACAGACCAGCGCTGGCCCGTATGGGAGAAGGAGGCTTATGGGATACGTTGGGCATTACTCACGTGGCGACAGTTCCTGGAAGGCAACAAAATCCCCTTCCAGGTATGGACTGATCACAAAAATTTAGAAGCCCTGAAAACTTCCAGGAAACTCAATCCCAAACAAGCCCGCTGGTCCCAGCATTTTCACCAATTCCAATTTAAGCTCAAACATTTACCAGGAAGAAAGAACTTCCTGGCAGATGCACTATCTCGCATGCCCCAATATAACAGCGCACGAACCACAGACTCTAGACCAATAATGGCAGAGTCACAACTGGCAGCACCAGTAACCACAAGAACCCAAGCCAAAATAAAACCACAACTGGACAGCCAAACTGGAATTGAATTCAGAAAAAGTTTGGAAACAGATGAATGGTTCCAGAAAAACCAAAAATGTGTGCACAATGAGAGACGGGTTGCCTTGGGTAGGGGAAAAGTTATATATACCAACAACTCAAAGAGTAACTTTCATGCACCTTTGCCATGACACAAAATCAGCAGGGCATTTTGGATTTGTAAAAACTTTACATTTAATTAAACGGCAATTTTGGTGGCCATCCATGAAAAAGGACATTGAAAGTTATATAGCCAGTTGTCCAAAATGTGCCACGGCAAAGAGGTTGCAAGGGAAAGTGCCAGGACTATTGCAAACAGTGGCAAGTCCCTCAGCCCCCTGGAGAGAAATAGCCATGGATTTTATAGTGGAATTGCCAGAAAGCAATGGGAATACTGTGGTCTGGACGGTCACGGACTTGTTTTCCAAACAGGTGCACTTTATCCCTTGCCAAAAGATTCCCACTGCAAAAGCCTTAGCAAAACTTTTCATCCAACACATTTACAGATTGCATGGGGCACCCCAACGCATCATCTCTGACAGGGGGGTGCAATTTACGTCTGCATTTTGGAAGGAATTTTTATCCCTCTTAGGAACCACTCAGGGACTGACATCTAGCCACCACCCTCAAGGAAATGGATCGGCTGAAAAAATGAACTCCGTACTTAAGCAATATTTAAGATGTTTTCTTAGTTTCTAGCAGACCGAGTGGGCGGACTTACTCCCTTTTGCAGAAGTTGCCTACAATAATGCAGTCCACTCCAACACAGGTTACACTCCTTTTCAAATAGCCACCGGTCAAAGTTTCAACCCCATGCCAGAATTAACCCCAAACGAACCAACAATCCCTTCGCTGAAAGAATGGATGGAGAAACTACAAAACACCTGGCCAATAGTCAGAAAAGCACTAGATGAAGCTAGGCAGGCATACAAAACACAAGCCGATAAAAAAAGGGTTGAGCCTACACCATTCATTATAGGAGAAATGGTGTACTTATCTACAAAATACCTAAAGTCCCTACAGCCCTGTAAAAAACTTGGACCAAAATATATAGGACCTTTTCCAATTAAAAGAATCATAAATCCAGTAACAGTAGAATTAGAATTACCCAAAAATCTCAGGCAAATACACCCAATTTTTCATTGCAGCTTGCTGAAAAGAGAGCATCAGTCACCTCTACGGCCAAAAATCCCCCCCCCACCACCCTCCAATCATGGTGGAGGGTGAACAACACTTCGAAATAAAGGAAATCCTTGATTCTAGGAGATATCATGGAGCAACTCAGTACCTAGTTGCCTGGAAACACCTCCCTCCCTCACAAAACGAGTGGGTCCATAAACGTCATGTCAGAGCCCCGAAGCTATTGAAGAAGTTTCACACAGAGTATCCTAACAAGCCTGACTAAATTTATACTTGTGTTTTCTTTCAGGTGGATCTCTCTTATTTTTAAGAGGGGCCGGATGTCAGAATCCAATTATATTTCATCTTTAATTATCAAATATAGAAACTCCCAATTCTGCCTTCTCTGGATTCTGCCATAAGAGGGAGAGAAGGGGGAGAACAAAGGGGCTTTATGGCCCTCACTTCCTTCTTTACACTTCAAAGAGCGGAATGCTGAATGTGTGTTTATTGTAACCTCAAAGCGTTAGCACCAAAGAACCTTACCATAACGAAGGGTATCTGCCTTTCATGTAGTTTATCTGAAGTCTCCATCCAGACCGAAGAAAGAAAAAAGGGGGTGGAATTGTGATACCTGAAACTATCACTGGAAGGGGGGTTGATTGGGTGGGACTACTGGGGGACCCCTTAAAACCTTGAATGGGAGGGCTTGGACCCCAAGTCCTGTCTAGCACGCCTGCAACCACTTCTTCTTAATAAAGGATTCCTGTTGGAAGAATTATTCCAAGAGTTCTGTCTTCTTAAGATGCAAAGTGGGGTGGGTCCTTACATGCCTCAAGTGTTAAGCTTGATTATACTGATTGTAAAATCACAGATTGTGCCCTCCCCCCCCATCCATAGTATGTCAGACTGCAAATTAAGTTAGGCAGCACAGAAATAATGTGTTTTTTATATTATTTCTCTTCAGGTTTTAGTTCAGGCCATCAAAGAAGCTAAAGAGCAACATCCAGATATGTCTGTAACCAAGGTCGTTGTTCATCAAGAGACTGAGATTGCAGAATAAATAGTTTATACCAGGTAACTTTCCTTTTAGCACTACTTTATCATAAAGTATTAAAACTTTAGTCATAAATGAGGATTGTTACTAGGAGTCTTAAATATGCTTCCTATTCTTAATATCTGAAGTTTTTTATAGTAAATCTTTACAGGCAAAAACTGCTGCTAAAATCAGAATCCAGCCATAATAGAAATGAGAATGTTTATAACAGTAGCCTGTTTCTGAGTCTGTGAATCATATTGTAAATGCCTTTGAAATTTAGCCTCCCACTAATGTTTAAAAGTGGTAGCAATGAGTGTTTAAGATTAAATAGGTTGGGTCTGCAGAACATAAAACTTGCAAGTATCGTGTTATATGTTATTTCTTGTTGCCTGCCAGGTCTTGTTCCTGCACTATTATAAGCAGTCCACTCACTAATAAATGGCTGAGAGAAACCTATAGTAAACTACATAAAAAGAATTGGGTGCTGCCAGTATTGCCATTAGAAGCAATGCTGAGCATGCTAAAGGGGGTCAAGTTTCAACTTCAGCAATGACCTTTTTACTTTCTCCCTATTTTTATTTTTTATATAGGTCTAATAAAGTCCTAATTTTTCATATCATTATTTTTTAATGTGTACTTTAAGAAAGGGCAACTGGTGTGACCTATTCAAGATAATAAAAAGACATTCACAGTCGTTTGAGTGTTCAATCCTGCAGTAGACCTCTCAATCATTGTGGCCATCCATTGCAAGTTATCTGAAACTTGTAGAGAAGTATCCTCTGATAAAGCTAAGAATATATTAATTATTAATGTGCTTCCTGGTGCAGTGTTCAGATAATGCACAACTTGGGAATGAAACCTTAGCGCACCATTTAATTTGAGAAATTGTCTATGTCTTTCTTTTTATGGATTATTTATGCTACAGATTTGTTTCACCTGACATGTTGTTTGATGATGATTTAGTTGTACATAAGGACCAGAATAGGGGTGTTTTTTGTAGTTTGGAGTATTTTCTCCCCTGTTTCCTTCTGACCAATGCTAATGTTTCTCAACAAGGCACCACTTTTTGAGTGAGCTATCTTGCCAGCATTTAAAGCCTGAGAATTGTTTCATGCACAAGTGAACAAACTGGGCACTTACGCTTAGAAGCATTCTTTACTCTATGTATTGACAAAGCATCATGTTCTGATTTGTATCTTTAGATTTTAGAACTATGTTATGCATGGAAGAATTATCCTATGGTCAATTTAGGGAACCTAGTTTTGGGGGAAAGGCAAAGTTTTCTGGATTTTGAGTATGCATTGCAACAGACAAGGTTGCCATTTCTGAGCAAACATCTAGACAGAAATCCTCATTTATGTAATAGAAACCAACAATCCTTGAAGGCTACCTTTAGGCATGTGGATTTTATGTATTTAATTTTTTTATCCTATCGTTTTGCAGTTACATCCTATAATCAGGCAAAAGTAAGAAAAAAGATCCAAAGTCATGATACAGTAAATAGCTGTTGTTTAAAGTTAAAATATCTGGTAAAATACAACCTTAACCAAATAGTTTACCTTGAAACACTTATGCACATAATATAATGAGAGCAAAGGTGATTGATCATCATGGATACTTTTTCTCAAATATCATTGCTATGTTCTCACTTCAGCATTCATATTCTGATCCTCATAATTAGATACATTTGAACAAACTTTATGTATTTAATAACATGTATTTATTTCACATAGCTATAGTAGTACTTACACTTAAATATTGTCCTGTAGTGCTTTACAGCCATCTCGGAGTGGTTTACAGAGTCAGCATATTGTCCCCAACAATCTGGATTCTCATTTTACCAATCTTGGAAGGATGGAAGGTAGAGTCAACCCTGAGCTGGTCAGGATCAAACTCTTGGCAGTGGGCAGGGTTTAGCCTGCAGTACTGCCTTCTACCCACTGGCCATCATGGCTCATGGATTTAATTTTTCATAGAAAATGTCTTTCCTACTATGTCACAGCTTTCTCACTTTCATTCAGCAATCACATGAAGAAGGACACTGTCAGTTGTGCTGCCCATAATATGGAATGGTGTTTTTTTATTGTTGAAGACTTGCTTATTTATCCTTGATGGCTTGTACTGCCAGCTAAGCCTTATTATTAATAAACTGAACCAATGATATCTTATTATAGTAGATTAGGCTTTTTGTTTATGTATTATATGCTTTTGCATTTTTGTAATTTTGCTATAAAAAGCTTAAACTTTCCAGTGAAGATGAATATTAATCAATTATTTGAAAATATTATATAATTGATATATAATTGATGCCCATTTACAGAATATCAGGGGTTCACAAACATTTTTGTAAAATACTGTATGTCCATTTTCATTAAGGAATTTGTATCTTCCTAGGTGATGCCTGTTTCATTCTTTGAACGCCACCCAAGATATACCAGCAGAACTACAAAGAAACTTTCGAACACCATGACCTCAAACTTGCCAGATTTATTCTCAATTACACATTTTATCATTTATTGTTAGGAAGTTGTGCTTTTTGATGTTTTGGGGATTCTCTTTAATACTATATGTCCCTTTTCATTGGTTTTAATATTGTGACTGACAATTTGCCATATTTTACATGTGCTGATGTGCTTTTTTTAAAAAAAATTTTCATTTCCTTTTCCTATGCCATTTTCTGAATCTGTATTATGATGTCAAAAAGAGTACATAGGGCTTATCAAAAAAATGTTGCCTTTAAGTGTGATGCTGTTCACCTTTCTGTTCCACAAGTAGCTTGCGTTCTCTCCTACCTTTTGAATAAGTTACCGTGTGGCATATCAGTGACTTAGAAGTAGCCCCTCTTGTCAGAAAAATCATTGTGTGCAAAACTTTAATTTGATTGACTGATCTATAAAATGTCCAGAGTATCCTAACCAGAGCATACTTTGCCTGTGGATTTCCTTCACTTTTATGGATATGTCTGTCTTTAGATGCTTGAACATATCCCGAGGTTGTGGTGTTTATATAAGTAATTCAGTAGTTGCCTAGGTTCAGGGACAATGGAAGTTGCTTTTTATACTGTGAATTGTAGAGCTTTTAAATGAATTGTGGCAAGGCATTCAACTCTCATCTGCTCTTTTCTCCCTCCACCTTTGCTTTGCTTTACAGTCCTTAGGTGTTCCTTGTAATTCTGTCTGCTGTTTAGCCCCATTAAGCTATGAGACTAAGAGTAATAGACCCTGAACACAATTAAGTTAGGCTATGATTTATCATGTTTTTTCCTCCCCCCCCCCCAGTCATTTGTAGGTTTGGGTGGAGGGTTTTGTTTTGTTTTTTGTTTATTTTTTGTGCAAAGGGGGGCAAGAGGCAAATAAAGATTTGAAATCATACATTTTAAACAAAAGCTAAACTTAGAGCACTGGCAATATATCGGGATAAGGGGTATAATTCCTATATAGTTGTTAAAAACAATCTGGCATTCCTTTCATGAAGATAGTATTGAAGGCTATCAGTCAGAATAGGGTCCTGTTTCCTCAGTGAAAAGTTATTTGAAGAGGAAATATATTAATTGCCACCAGACAATACTTTTTGCAAGACAGTACTATGTCGTCCTTCTTGGGGGCAACCCTAACCACAGTGCACTGGTGTGGTATCTCTCTCTCTTGTTTCCTTTAGATCATTTAGATCATCAAAAAAAAAAAAAAACCCCAAGAAACCATGAACAGAGGTTATTGCACTTGGTAAATTACACCATTAGCTTTTTCACTATTAACATTAGAATGAAAACATAGAATTCCACATCAGTTGCTGTCCTCAGCCCCTTAATATCATCTAAGGAACTATATTCAGAGAAAGAGCAACAAGTAATTTATGAAAGGGGTCAGTGGGAGTTTTTTTAAAAAAGATAATACTGACTTTACATTACTCTCAAACAAAAGACAGATAGGACTACTCTTTTTTAAAAAATACTTCACTTTTCTAGGAGTATTGCAATCTGTCTGTTCAGTGATTGGACTCCAATTTGAAATTCCCGTAAATTTCAAAAATAGGCCATTACTTATTGGATAGTTCTTTTTTCCTAAAATATGTGAAGGCTTTGTAAAGATACAACAGGAAACAGTTCTACCTTTTCTTAGAAGAACTCAATTTCCGTAAATAAAAGCTTTCATTTACTATTTGGCATAATGCTACTTGTCATATTGCATGTTCCTTTCCCTCTCAAATGTGAAGTATTTGTAACATTTTGAAAGTGTTTTCAGATGGAATGCTGTTTGATCAATTTTGCTTTATTATGCTCTGGACATTACATCATGTTTCCAATGAATGCTGATTGATGCCAGAGGGAAACCCATTTGGAAACAGATTCCCCCCCTTCCCCTCCGCGGAAAATAAACAGGATTGCATTGTAATAGTATTAATGAAAGTAATTGTGAAAGCAGTAGAATAAGTTTCCTAACAATATTACAATGAACTAGAATAAACTCTGGGCACTTAATGTATTTATTACAAAACTAGCTATTTATTGTGGTAGACAACTAATTGGAACACTTTGGTGCAAAATATTAATATTTCTGCTGCTTTTACTGATGTTTTATTCAAAGTATAAAGCAGTTTTGAAAGAATTCTATTATGGAATTCTATTACGAAGCTTGTATTCCGTAGAGTTTCTAAGGACAAGTTTTGCCCTTTCACCAGCTGTAACTGAGCATGATTTTTATACACTATGGATAGCTAGCCAATGAAGTTCTGTTCTGTTTAGCTGACTCTTGCATGGAATGTAAATCCCTCATTAAAAGATATTGCCTCTGCAATAATAAGGGGAATGCATTTCAGATTGTACCTCTTCCTGGCCTTTCCATCTATTGTCCTCCCATTTTCACAGTTTTCTACTGTCTTACTTTTTGACCTCCATTTTCATTCATGCAGCAAGATTAATTTCATTGATTCACCATTTTTGTGTTGTGCAATAGATGACTTCCAACTTTCCTTTTTCAGATTTTTAGCTTATTTACTAAAAGTATGTGATGAAATCTGAATAGGTGTTGCATTAGACTGCAATAAGGAAGCCCAAGGTGGGATAGTATATCTGCATTGTGTAATTTCTTGCCTCCTTTTACAATAATCAGAAGCAAAACAATGTTCATTTAGCAGTTTGTGTAAATATTTAGGATTATGTTTTCCTAAATATTACTTAGGAATATGTTAGTTTCAAGAAATGCTCAAAATCACAGGACCAGTGTGAGTGGAAAAGATGAAGAACTATTCTAGTAGGTAAAAGGATAAAGATTGCAACAGGGCAACAAGATGTATCCCTGAAAGAAAAGTAAGGGTTATTCAAATTTCCTTTTTTTTCTTTTTGTTTCTATATATTTATTAGCAAAGCAATTTGAATTCAGGAGTTTAATAAAAGTTCTGCTTTCCTACTCAACGGCCAGATCTAAGATTCCCACCTTCCTTTGAGTATGCCTGAAGATAAAAGCATTATAAAGCAAGAAAAACGTCACATTTTTGCAGATTAAGTTGATTTACATGATATACATCAGGGGTGGCAACTTTAAGACTTGTGGACTTGTAGCTGGGGAATTCTAAGAGTTGAAGTCCACAAGTCTTAAAGTTGCCAAGGTTGAATAGCCCTGATATATGTAAATGAGTGTGCTGTTTTCATGTTATGTTACTCTGCTTCTGATTATTGTAATGAAACATAAAAAAAAACCCTTAACAATACACATATACACACCTTCCTTTGACTGGCAGTCTAATTGTGCAACAACTCTTTCCAGCTTTTATTACCTATTGTCCATAAACTATAAAACTAAACTTCATAGCAGCAAAGGCTGAAAGTGTTTAAGCGTCTTCTTAAACTTCTTAGGAATGTGAATCTTGGGGCTGCTGCCACATGGTGATTATTTTCTTTTCTGAAATTCCTTCCCGCATACAGTGTGAATCCATTCTCTTTGCTGTGAAGGGGGTTTCTGTTTACCATCTGAGCTTAAAAATTGGCACTCTTGCTGGCAGCCTTTGTAACTGAACAAGAGTTGTGAGTTTGTTTCCTCCTGACTACTTATATCCCACAAGTGAGCAATATTTTATTTTGTATAGCCAAGCATGCTAGAGAAATAAAAAGGAGCTAATAAATCCTTTTAAAATGCATTTGCCAAGCTAATTTAACTTTCCATAGCAGACACAATGAAAATAATTTAGTTTTAGGGTACCAGAGACATGTTCTGAACTGCCTACAATAGGGATTTTCATGTTTTGACAAGGAAAAGCATTTGTAGGCTGTTTGTACTCACAATCTCAGAGCTGCCACCATCACCTTAACAGATCCCAAAATAAACCAGCTTCTAGCATTCTCATTTTCTGGGGACCAGCACTGCCATTACTGGAGCAGTAAATAAAATATAGTCTATTTATTTATAATGATGAAATGACTATGCTCCCAGTTATTTCCTTCCCCATTTATGAGATTATCTAGAAACTATCTTAACTGTATAGTAAATGGAAGCTAGTTATCTATGAATGTGTGTACAGAAGGAAGAGCAGCAGTATCCAAATTGGTCCAATTAGAAGGAAAAAAAATAGATTTTCATTTGCCAACTATTAAAGTACAAATTAACTTTGGGGACTCAAGAAGGGTGTTGGGGATTCATAAACTTGTTTTTTTTTCCATTTTCATATAAGGGGCAGTTTTTTTAAAAAAATGTATTCTAATTACGGGGGTTGGTTCTCTTTTTTACACATTAAATCACACTATTTCACTGCAGATATGAAGGAGCTTTGTAAAAATTTTTAAGACAATTGTATAGAATAGTTCGTTCTTTTTTAAAAATAGGAACAGAATAAACAATTAGCAAATCTTTATAGTTTATGTAGTTGTTATCTTGGACTTTTGTAGTTAAAGGAAAATTAGATGTAGCATTTAGATATGTGTTCTATCTTGTATTGCATTTTTCAATAAATTTTCAGGTAAAAAATGATGCTCTTGTCATTTATTAAAGCAGGGCTTTTCAACCTTTTCACCAATTGTAACACTTTTAGGATATGGCAATATGTGAGTACCACCTAGCAAGGTGTCAAAAACCTGATGACCCTTCCCCCCCAAAAACTGTTCAAAGTTGCAATTGCACTGAAATGACTTATGATCATTTTTCACACTTATGACCATTGCAGCATGCCCATAGTCATGTGATTTATATTTGGATGCTTGGGAATTGATTCATATTTATGATGGTCACAGTGTCCCAAGGTCATGTGATCCCTTTTTGCAACCTTTTGACAAGCAAAATCAATGGCAGGGCTGCTGGTGGCCAAGTGCTAAGGCGGGACTTCCTTCCCTGCCTCCCTCTTTCTCATTCCCATCTCCTTCTGAAGGAAGAATTTGAATCCCCCCCCCATATTTTCCCTCTTATATATATTCATCAAGGAAAAGTCTTCAGAGACAGAAAAGACAAGCTGCTGAGGAACTAGCTTAAAAAAGCGCATCCCCCTTTAAGAATTAGCTACTGGCCAGAAAGAAAAGTTAAGGAGCCTGCAGCTGGCACTTAAGGAAGAAAAAAAATGTAGTAAGTACTGGTTAATGGCTAAGGTAGCCTCCCCAAATGGCTCCATTCATAAGTACAGGCAAAATCCATTCAGGAGAAAAATACCTCAAAATCCCTTGCAGCAAAACTTACTGTACAGCTAACAATAGCAGAACAATAGAATCTAACACGAGACATCAGCTATCAGTCAAATAGAAATTGCCAAACACTCCTTAAGAACTCAAAGCCCACATTGCACAAATCCCAGAACTTCAAAGTCACAAAAGCACATAAGAATCCTTCCACTCTCCATCTCCCTCCCTCTGTGCCTTACCTCCAGCCGATGTTGCCTTTCTTCATTACTGCCTTTGTTCATTCCTCGTGGAGGGTGACCCCTTCCCCGCTGTGTTTCTGTCCTGTTTGTTGCTGCCAGCACAGATGGCTGCCACAAAAGTTGTAGATCAGCTCATGGCCGGCCTGTTTGATCTTTCCCCCACCCTCATTCTTTTCCTTCGGTGCAGCTACAGCTGACTCCACCTCTTCCTCTCCCGCCCAAACTGCCTCCTTTTATAGCTTCTCCTGTTTGCTCCCCCCTCCTCCTTTCTCTTCCAGGTGAGCCAGAAGTGCCAATCCTGGGGCCTTTGCCTCACCCCAGCCACTCTGCAGCTCTGGAGGACTCTCTCACAGTAAGTCCTGCGCTGTGCTGGCTCATTCCCTCCCCCACACTTGGCTGGGCAGGGCTGCGTACCACCTGCCACGTGCTAATGTACCACAGGTGGTACACATACCACTGGTTGAAAAGCCCTGCAGCTCTACTTTGCCCAGATTATCTGGATTGTAGTTTCTGACGTATGTCGGCTGAAACTTCAATTCTTCCAACTGTTTGGTTCATATGCAGCCCCAAATACCTAGTTTAAGTACTGTTAAACCATGACTTTACTGTGTAACTTTAAAAACAAGCTGTTACTTTTGCACAACATTGACTGAGCTCACACACTGTGGTAAGACAAACTGTTAGTTCATGTTGTATGAACCCAGCTTAGTAAGTCATGTTTGATAACCTTTGATAGCAACCTGTGGAAAGAGCAATAGTGAGCAATGGAACTTCCAGCCAATCTGCCTTGTGACTATGAGAATCTTGTCATCTTGCTTTAACTAGACCTCAGCCCTGTCGTATGTCCTTAATGCCCAGGAAATTCCAGATTCACAGGAAAAGTTATCCTGTACTAGAGAAGGGGAACTTTCATGGCTGCAGGCTCTCTCCTTTGTGCTCATTTGATTCTGAGAATGACCATGAGGACCTCCGGGACAACTTCTCAGGTATTGATCCTATCAAGTGATGTGCAATTATGTGAAATTCAAACAATACTGTACTTATTTGCACTTTTCTAATTGCAAATAATGTTTGCTCTCCTTTGCATTCTTCTGAATGGAAAGCTGCTTTTTTGTATGTAAGTTTTTCCATAACAGGATGCAGAGTCAGGGAAACAGTCCAAAATCAATGTCTGCTGTTTTGAGCAGTGACTAAGTGAGTGGTCCATTCATGGAATGTGCTTTATCAGCCTCATGTTCCAGTCTGGTGTGTCTACAAATCAGGGCCAAATAGGAAAGTATTTTATGCTGCGGCATCAGCAGAGGGAGCCTATCCCAAACTTTGAAAGTAACCATTTGTCTCCTCAAATGTTTCCCAGATACATTGGAATTACAGCCCCTAAAAAATTTTATATCTATTTGGCATTTATAAACCTTTGTTTTCAAAAGAATATTTGTGTTCAAAGGAAGAAATGCAAATAATCTGCTAAAATGTGTTGCATTGGACCAGAATTATTCAAAACTATTGCACTATAAAATTTAGCTAGTAAGAATCTAAGAGCCAAAACATTGTCATCGTTTCTAATATGCTTCAATGTTAGGAAATTACTTTTTAGAGCTCAATGAAATTTCATTGCCTCATAGTAAATTTGCTATGGAGAGTTCCTACACACACACGCACACACACACACCCATAAGAAAAAGAAGCTTCAAGTACTTGACTGAATAGATTGTGCAATATTCAGTGTCCTGATTCTATGCAATTTCTGCTGGAGAATGCAATTTCACTGACTTTGAAATATAATTAGTGTCTGTGTTGCAATATATTCCATCTGGATTGTAATTTCATATCTTGCTGCAGTGATGAAATAAAACCCATATCTGCGTCAAGCAATGTTAGAATTAAAAAAAAACCCACCTAATTCGCTTACACAAAGATTAAATAATAGTGGGCCTTACATATCTGAGGGAAATTTTATGAAAGATCAAGATACAATAGAATTACACATCATTAAGCGATGGTTTGCTTAATGATTAATATCTATAATTGGCTTGGATTCACACATGCTGAATCCATAGCTATAGTTCATAGTTTTCATAATGTGCTGGATGGGTTCACACAATATAGCACCAAGGTAATTTCATTGAGGCACAGTACAATGGAATAAGCCAGCTGTTATGTCAATATCCTTCCAGTATATTTTGGATTTTAGTTTAGCACTAGAGTTGGATGAGAGCCAACTTGGTGTAGGGTTAAAGCATCAGGCTAGAAAGCAGGAAACTGAGTACTTGTCCTGCTTTAGGCACAAAGCCAAATGGGTAATCTTGGGCCAGGAGGCAATGACAAATCACTTCTGGAAACCTGTCGAACAAAATTTCTGGGACTTCTCTATGCAGTCTTTGAGATCAGACATCACTGGATGGAAGGGACAAAAAAAATACTTGCATACTTAAATGCTGCTGGAGAATTCAGGCAGTTGAAATCTACACATTTTAAAGTTGCTGAGTTTGAGAAATACTATCCTAGAAACTTGACTCAAAGACTTCCTTTGTAGTACCTCTGGGATATACACCATCCCATTATCCTATAATAGGCTGCATTACATGTTATCATACACTCAAAGCAACCATTTCCCCCTTGTTTTGATAGTCTGGAAATGCCCTAACACAGGGGTCCTCAACCTTGGCAACTTTAAGACTTGTGGATTTCAACTCCCAGAATTCCTCCGCCAGCAAACTTGAAATCCACAAGTTTTAAAGTTGCTGTCAGAATCCAATTATATTTCATCTCTAGTTATCAACTATAGAAAACCCCATTTCTGCCTTCTCTGGATTCTGTCATACGATGAAGAGAAGGGGGTGAACAAAGGGGCTTCATGGCCCTCACTTCCTTCAGTACACTACAAAGGGACTGGATGTGGATATCATCAAAAGGACTAACCATAACAATGGGGCGATTACCTTTCATGTACTCCTCTCTGAAGACTTCATCCAGCCGGCAGTAGGAAAAGGGGGTGGGAGTGTAATGCCTGAGATTGTCGCTGGAAGAAGGGGGTGATTGGGTGGGGCTACTGGGGAACCCCTTAAAACCTTGAATGGGAGAGCTTGGACCCCAAGTCCTGTCTAGAACGCCTGCAACCATTTTCTCTTAATAAAGGATGCCTGTTGGAAGAACTATTCCAAGAGTTCTGTCTTCTTAAGATGCAAAGTGGGGTGGGTCCTTACATTAGACAGGACTTGCAAAATTAATCCACCTGGAAGGGAGACCCTTGCCGGGGGATTTTGCAAAAAATAACCATGTCAGACAATGGAGCAAGAAAGGGGGGAAACTCCCTGGAAAGAGAGCCGCTGCTCCGACTGGAACCTTGCTGGATGTTGGGATCCGAGAGGTCAGATTCCTCAGGAGAAGAAGTGGTGGAGACACGGGACCACAAGCCTCACTGGTCAATGGGCATTGGAAAGAAAAGCGAGTGGGGAAAGAAATCAAGAAAGGTGACCCTGAGACAGGGGGACAAGCAACCAGAATGGAAGCAGGAGATGGAGAAATCCCTGCACGCAAGTGAAGAGGGAGAAAGCTGGGCACCGTACTTGGACTGGATCCTAGAGAAAGCTATTGACCTGATGAAGAGAACTCTCAGCTCCCTAGGAGAGGAGAATCCTGAGCCCTACGGCCGCCCCAGCTCCTGGAGCCGCAAAGGGAGAAACACCAAGGGGGAAGTGGAACCTGCAGCCCTGGGGACATCTGCTGATCCACTAGTCCCCACCCCCTGCCGAACCACAGATGGTGATCTGGACAGAAGACATTACCACCAACAACGAAGGCACTGATCCATTCCAAGACGTCTGCCGTTGGAGGTGAAATTCAAAGGGGAGCCAACACGCTTGGGGTTTTTCCTAACCCAAGTCCTCAGCTACATGGAGCAATACGGGTGGGACAATCCCAGTGACAAAGCCCACATCCGGATCGTGCAATCTGCCCTGGACGGACCAGCTGCAGATTGGGTGGTGAACTTGGACGACTCCAATGCCCCAGAGCTCAACGACTTCAACCGTTTCATGTCCTCTCTGAGAAGGCGATTTGAAGACCCCCTGGCTGATCGCAAAGCCCGAGAAAGGATAAAAATGATGAGGCAAGGCAAACAC